ACTCCTAACTTGTGTTCCAGTGGGTGGTGGGAGTCAAAACGCAAATATTGGTCTGTGTGGGTGGGCTTACGATATACGCCAGTTTCCAATCGTCCATCCATCTGAAGATGCCCAGACACTTGAACACCTCCACCTGAGGCAAAGACTCAATTCAAGATCCCTGTAGGGGTGGCCGAGCTCAGCCTTCTGGGTGAGGATCTCGGGAGCCACTGCTCCTTCGCAGTGAAAAAGTCAGTTGAGGTTGATTAGGATGCCTCCTGCACATCTCTTTTTTGGAGTTTTTCAAATGTCCAACTGTGAAGAAGCACCAGATCAGATCCAGAACTAGTGAGAGGGATTATATAGCCTGTAGGGTCTGGGAATGCATCAGGAACTCTCAGGAGGCATTGGGAGAACTTTGCTGGGGAAAGGGATGTCTGGTTTACCCTCCTGGAGCTGCTGCCTTCTCAAACTAACTTCTGCAGCAGAAGATGATTCCTTGAATCTTCAGATCCAATTTAAATGCTGTAATAAAGACTTTTCAGGGCAACAAACAGAGAAAAACGGAAGAAATGTGTGTTTCTGTGTGTGTAAAGGGTATCAACATGTGAAGTGAACATAATCACATTTTATGAGCAAAAACACACAGAGGCATTGTAATGTTTAAATATAAATTTGTATTTACATCAATATTAACATCAAGAAACAAGATAAGAAAAAAAAGAATCATCTTGTATTTTTTTTGTTTTGTTTTCGTTTTTTACATCATGACCGCATAATTCCCTACATGTGTTTTTGAGTCTGAGCAAAGACGAGTTACCTTCCTTTAAAGAAAACATACATACCTTTCCCACCCCCCTATTTTTTCCCCCCAAAATATCTGTAATTTCATATTCTTCACTGACACCGGGGGGGAGGAGGAGTTGAAAACAAACCCCCAAGCTTTACTTCTGAGACATAAAACCTCCGTACAAGAACATTCTCCTGCGAAAGAACAGCACCACAAAAATCAACTGGCCATCAGATCTACAGAAAGAAAGAAACAAAACATCAAAAATAAAAACACAAAGATTTCAAAACAGCTCAGCAGAACCCGACACCTCTCTACTCTACTTCATACAGATGAGGATAGAATACTGTATATGGAGTTAAAGGTTTGCTCCATGTATAATACAGGTTATGTGCAACAGTCAAAGCAGACAACAACTTCAGCACGATCTACTGAACTGTTTCTAAGCACTGCAGAATGACAAACAAAAATCTTTGGATTGAGCACAAGGTAGATTTTTTTTCCCCAACACAAGCTTCACAGGTAATACAGTTAAAACAAAAAGGAAACTCAAACAAAACACCAAGAAGCAGCTGTCGAATAACTGGCGGATTTAAAAACAATCTCATGTAGCCTCTTAAAATGAAACACCTGGAAAAAAACAGGTTTAAAAAAATCGCACGGACTGAACAATTAAATAACCAAACACTCAAAACCTCACGAACAAATGGAAGCAAGAGGCCAAATTCAGGAAATAATAAACCTCACGTACTGGTAAGACATCTGGACTCGTAGAAGAAGAACACAATCTGTCTGTATAGGCGTGTTTTTTTCTTTTTTTGTATTTTTTTTGTAAAAAAACATTTAAAAAGAGGAGATTAGAACCCACTAGCACCTGTATACTTTAAAACTACTTCCTAGGAAAATAAGAGGATTATGATTTTAAGGTTACAAAAAAAAGTGCGTTCTGACTGCGAGGAGGCGGGGAGTGGCAGTATAAAAGAAAATCTACACAAACGGCTTACAAAAGAGGAGATCTCCTCCTGACCGATGGTTCAAAGTATTGAAAATAAAAGCGAACCTATGACAGGATAAGAAAATTACACTTTTAAATATCAAGCCTTACAATCTGTGCAAAAAACGGTATATGACCTACAAAAGCAAATATATATATTTATATATAGTACATTTGAAGCGTATTTACAATTTCTATTAACAGACAAGGAAAAGAACAAGACATCAGGTGTAATACTGCAGTACCATCGCTTCGAGTCTCTTCAGCTCTGTCCACAGAGGAAACACAGGAGGAAGGGTTATTGCTCAACTAGAAGCATTAAAATCAAACATTTTCTCTTGTTTTTGTGTTTATTTAATCTCATATGTTGTTTATTTCTGCGCACGTTTTGGGTTTGGTCATTCAGTTTTCTTTTTAAAAACAGATATTGAAAAACTAAAAAAAAAGATGCTTATTCTGTTTTCATTTTGTACTCCAAAAACGGAAAAACTGTTTGTCTTATTTTTTTCACACCGAAATCATCGTCAAGGCGTTAGAACCTGCTGTGACTCACCCAGAACATCATAATGAGCTCTTAGAGAAAGGCTTCATGTGCTAAAAGCTCCAGGAAACAGTTTGAACTAGCTAGTTAGTAGCCATGTGATGTGAGTATCAGTCACATGGAGGCAGGGCTCAAAAGCCTGAATTTTGCCTGAAACTCTCAGACTGAAGAAGTCTCTTACTAATGAAACATATAATCTCGCTAGTTTTCCCTTGAAAACTGATAGTCTGTCCATTCCAGATGATTCAAATGTGACTCTGTTTCCTGGAGCCACAGCAGGCTCCACAGGACAGCGTTGAGATGCCCTGATGACGGTGGTAAACGTCCAATCTGATGGAAATTAAAAAGATGAACCGTTTTCCCATTTTTTGGAGTAGAAAATTAAAATAGAATAACCATCCATTTTTCATTTTTCAACATTGGTTTTTAAAGCACAAATCGAATGACCAAAAGGCGCACACACCCGTGTGGTTGTCTGTGGAGGGACCTGGCGGACCCTCGATAGTAAAATTTGGTGGGAGCGAACCAGCAATTTGGGTTACCTCTGGAAATTGTGCACGGTAACCTAAACGTCTTGATTTTGAATTCCATCTTGAGTGCTACAACAATCACTTGGTAAATCTGGTGAAATACTGATTTTAAAGGGATAGTCTGCTCATTTTTTTTCAGGGGGATGTTATATCAGTCATACTCTGTGCTCTATGATTGATGTCACTGCTAAGAACTATTGTTTACCATCTGACAGAACATCACAAAAAAAAAACAGTCTATCCCTTTTTAAACACCAGTTATTTTCTTGCCATTATAAAAGAACAGACTGGATAAAATCTGAGTTTCCTGCTTTTTTCCCGCTGTGGAACAAAGACCGACAAAGTCAAACGAATCTCTTCTCGGAGAGGAAAACTTGAAGAACACGCAAAGAGAAACCCAAAAACAAACAGTAAAAGTCTGCTGTTATGCATTAATTCTCACGTAAAAAGGCCTCTACATTGCCACAATCCTTTTGACGTTGGCTTTTCCTTAAAGTGCAACCAGCCAACGAGTGATTCAGTCATGGTCAGAGGCATCCTGGAGGACAAAAACAATGTGCTGTAACTTCACGACATTCACACGAGCGTCACAATCGGATGGCTCGTCAAGCTGGAGCCGGATTTACGGGGCGGGGATGATCCTCCAGGAGCGGCGGTGAGACGGCGGATGGAAAGTTCAGAATCCACATTTGTTACGTCTGAATACAGCTTCATGGTACATTCGACAAAAGAAGAGGACGTTTCCATGTGATCCGACTTCACCGTTTGGTCCAACGAAAGAGGTGTGTGTTTGTATACACAGGCATAAACACACACACTGCTCGAGAAGAGAGAAAGATTAAAGTAGAATCCATGAGAGGTATCATCTGTGTGTGTTTAAAATGAAAACCGTTTGTTGGATTTTCGACATGTGACGGTCCGTCTGTTTTTTTTTCCTCAGGCTGCCAGACAGACAGGCTGAGTCCAGAGGGAGGCTCGCTCCCTCGTCTGGTGGGAATGTAGCTCTGCACACAGAAACATAACACGCCTGGTTTACTCCACCCGCTCCAGCGCCGCAGCCGTCTCCCACCTCTGGGTGGAGATCACAGTGAGGCAAAAGCTTCTGTCGTGTCGTTCAGCAGTATTTCTAAATCAACAGGAGGAAAAAGAAAAAAAAGATGGTGAGAAAGAGAGAGAGGTTGAGAAAACTTTTAACAGCTTTGCACATTTGCACAGATGCACCACCTAACTGTCACATCTGTCTGTTTTAATATGTGACCCATCACATCGAAATGAGGATTAAGTCAAATGTGTTCAAAATGACATAATCATTTATTCAGATTCCTGGCTTTAAAGGCTACATTTTGATACTTAGATCATCCTGATATCATTAGTAGATCCAGAGATATTATTTAATTTGTCTTGTTGGTTACAATAATACATAAATATTTGGTCTAAATCCTAATTTTATGTAATTTTAATGAGGATTTTTTTTTTATGTCATTTGAAAAAGGAAACCTCAAATAGTATTTGACTACTGAGATTTCCCAGCTGGAAAGAAACAAATGCTTTGAAAGCTCACAGTGAAAATCTTAACATTTTAAGGCGTTTTTCCTCAAAATCAAGTTTTTGGTTGCTACTGCTCAAAAAAATGCTTCAAAAAATTTTTGGGATAACATTTCAGACAGTTCATTGAAATAATACATTGATAACACATTTATTTGTTATATTTTGACAAAATGTAATTTTTGCAAGCGTTTTAATCAAAACAATACCTATTTCGCCACATAAAACTTTTAGACTTAATCCTTGTTTCAATGTAATGGGTCACATATGATCCCAAATCCTGACTTGTGATTGGCTGTAAGGTCAGCAAAAGGAAAAAATAAATAAAACTGAGGAGCTGGCTCTCACTTGATGTGAGTTGGCTTTTCTAATTCACTAACTTTGAGCATGACACGTCACTATTGCTGAATCCTGAAACAGCTTGACTCTAAATTTTAACCAGTTATAGATGTTCATCCAATACTTATCTTCTGAGAGTTTCATTAAAATATGTTCTTTGGTTCATGAGATATTTAGCTGAAAGACAAAAAACACGATGGCCCTCCTTCATGGTGGTGGATAATTACAAAACAGCAACACAACAGATACAAAATGTATTAAGAAAGCATACGAAAATATAAATAATATACTTTATAAGTTAAATTATAGCATAAACAGAAATAATAAACTTTTATTTAATAGAGGACCGAAAAAAGAGCCCTGTGGTACCCCTTTGGACAACAACTGCTAAAATTCATTTACGTAAATATGTAGATACAGACAGGGAAATGCTATTTCTGAAGAGAACTCATAATCTTTTGTTCTCTGCACGTACCTGATCGGGCCCCATAGACATGCGTCCCATAACCATTGGGTTCATCCCCATCTGGCCCATGTGAGCCCCTCCTCCACCGGTCGGCATGCCCCCATTCATCATCATGCCTCCATACTGCCCCGGATTCCCCTGCTGCCCAAACTGCTGCTGCCCCAGAGGCGCCTGCGGACCAAACTGCTGCTGAGGGTACGAACTAATGAGGAAGAGTGACAGACAAGAGGAGTTAAACTGCAGGGGAGAACAGAAGAAGATGTTTGTCTCCCTTCTCTCTGATGGAGTTATTGTGTTGTACCTGTTGCGTCCCATGCCTCCCTGTGACCAGCCTTTCATGTCAGCACCCTGGTACATGGGGCCGCCTTGTGGGTGCTGTTGAATCATGGGGTTTTGAGGCCCCATGCGGTTTGGCATCATGGCATTAGGAGGACTGCCACCTGACGGACCAAAAGAGGGGTCTCCCTGCTGGCCCATTCCTGCTGACAAAAAAAAAAATCACAAGCATCAGCTCGCTGTTTTCTTAAATGAAACAAAAAATACATAAAAACACTGACAGACTTTTTTTTTAACATGACAGATATGAAACTAGAACTCTGCACTGCTTAGCCCCACCACCAGAGGGCGCAGTGGTGCTCCTGCGACCGACCGGCTCAGTGGACCCACCGTAGTTGCCGCCGTAGCCAAACTGCTGGGGTCCCGGCTGGCCCATGTTCGGCCCTCCCATGTGACCGTCCATGCCGCCGGGAGCCGTGACGTTGGGCGGGGGGCTGAATCCTCCCGCGGCAGCTGCTGCCGCTGCCTGTTGCTGCTGCTGCATCAGCATCATCATACGCTGCCGCCTCATCTGCATGGTGACCACGTCTCTGCGCTGGGCCATCATCGGAGCGCTTAGGAAACCCGGCTGCACCGAACAGACACGTTATTATAGAAAATGCTGTTGGGCGCAATTATCTTCTCTTTCACACAAAATATGGTTAGTTAGATGCAGTCCACTGTGACGTTTATCGTTTTGACTCAGTTACTCTAGTCAAGTACACTGAAACACAACAGTGCAACAATAACATTAGTGAGGGCTTATCGGTTGAATATGTATTTAAAATACTGTAATTTCAAATTTTCAAAAATGTCGGTAGATTGCTACCTGCTTGGAAATATTAACGTTGCATCTAATATAAATAATAATATAGAATCAAACCTTTAAAAAATCTTTACTTTATTAACTTTTTCTAGTATTTTGGGTCATTTACCTGTCCTCCCATGCCAGGCTGCATGTTGGGCCTCATGTTAAGGTTTCCACCAGCGTTTTCCATCTTCATGGCCATGCCCTGTCGCGTCTGATTCATAAACTGTGGGAGAAAAAAAAACATTTAACAAGACAACAAATGCTACAATAATATCATCTAATAAATGGCACATTTTTTGTCTCATTAATAGAACAGGTAGCATTCTGACTGGACTATAAAACTGTGTATGAGAAAACCAGAAAATCCCAGAATCTTTTTTATTTTTTGTTTATATGTTAAAAAAAGCAACATATTGTTCAAGGCTGTGGGAATCAAGGGTGCCGAGGGTGCAACAGCATCCCCTGGTGTATCCTGTGTTGTTACCTGTTGTCCTTGCAGCCTCTGCTGCAGTTGCAGCCTCATGGGCTTGTTAGTGCTCATCATCCTGGGTCTCATCATGTTGGCCCGTGGATGCCCCATGCCCCCCATTCCACCCATGCCAGGGAAGTTCCCACCTTGGCCCATTGGTGAAAGCATGGGTCCGAACCCACCCTGCTGGCCCTGACCCTGCATGGGGTTTCCTCCATAGCCAGACTGCATAGGCATGGAGGGCGGTCCGGGATAGCCCTGACCGTACAGGGGTTTTTGGTCAAGCAGCATGGACGGGTCCTGGCCGGGGAAATGCTCCAGCTGCTGCTCCGCCCCCTGGGTCTGCAACAGACAGAACAAAAATAAAAAATAAAAAATAAGACAAAATGTCCAAAAAAAGAAGACATTAGTCAAACTTCTCAGTTTAATTGATTCATTTCCGTCTGGTTGCCTCAGTAATTGTCTTTTTCTAAGCAGCACAGAAGGATCCCTCTCGGCTCATCTATCTCACTTCAGAGAGAGGACAGACTGAACACAGTGACTCATGTCTGAAATATCAAAGATAAATCCAGTGCTCAACTGTGAGTCACGAGATGCTAACTATTCTTTCCCCACACTTTTAGATGCTTCTAACGTACACGCTCACGGGTGTGTCTGGTTTAGGTTTTAAAGCATTCTTACCTGGCTGACGAGGTCTGGGATGCCAAGAGCTCGGTCTATCTCCTCCAAAGCGATGCCATCTGCGTTATTCAGCAGCGAATCCAGCTGGTCCAGAAGGGCCCGCTCATCACTCTGACCTTCACTGCTAGTGGGGGCCACCAGAAGGTCATCCAAGGGGTTGCCAAACTGCCGTCTACAACACACACAGACACGCACATCCTCAATGACTTCCATCAGGTCAGCTTCTAACAGCTGAAAGAAAACTATAATAAAGGCTGCACTGACCTGCTGCCCTCCATGCTCATCATGTTCTCCAGCCAGGAGGGGGACTGACTGGGCTGACCCTGCTGGCTGAAGGGGCTCATACCCATCCCACCATCAGCAGAACCACCTGAACCATCAACAACAAAAAAGTTCCTTTCATCAATGAGAACAAACAGCAACCTTCAGTTTTTATTTCTTTGAAACAGCATTTAAAAGCTAAATACTGAATATATAAAAAATACTTTTTACTAAACTAAAAGCAACAAAATAAAAAAAAACTCCACTAAACTAATAAATATAAAACAACCTTTAGGTCAAACATCAGTCTATATTAGATTATTGTCTTTTTATACTTTAGTTTTGAGCTGTAGTTACTGATGCATCTTATGGAAATGAACCTAATTAGAACAAATATTTTCATACTGAATTAATGTGCTCATTATCTTTAAATTGAATATTAGTTTTATTTTGAACAAAATCTTTGTGTCTTTTGGCTCAACTGTAACTTGTTTTTAACCAACTAAATTGTTAAAAAATACTAAAATAGGAGCAAACAAATTTAATTAAAAAGGTGAAAATGTGATATATTTGGTATTCTTATATCAACAAAGAGCTGAATATGGATTTAAAATATCCATTTTTTTAAATAGTAAAGTCGAAGTATCATAAAATTAAGAAAAATAACGTATATGTAGATGTATATTTATCTTCATCTGCACAAATAATCCTGCTCTTTTAGAAATAAGGGACCCGCCGTACGAGCTAGTTTATGATGATTTCTGACAAGAATATATTAAAAAACGTTTATGACAAATCCTAACAACACAAACACTTCTAAATTTAAATTTTTGTACCGCTACATTATTATTTAAAACTGAACTCCTTTCTCTTGCTTCGTCCACCATTACAAGATAAAAAATCTCCTGGTTAGCCCCCTATCTTTGGATAGGGTGGGCTGAGAAGGATCTACTGGACCCGTCCCTCAAGTCTGAGGAAAAGGAGGACATATTTGTGGGTCGCAGTTGGAGGAGCCTTCGAATTTGAACAGCCTTTGTCGCATTACTGTGATGTAATCGGCCTTGGAAGGACGCAGCCCCTGAATTTGGACACAGCCACTGAGTCTGACTGCAGACCTTTAAAGGGATCCCTGATTAGATGTAACATTCGACTTTATTTGATAAACAATGGGCCTCATGCAAGAACATGTTCGTATTCTTATCCTGAATTTCTCTTACTTTTGTTCGTACAAAGGGTTCGTACGAACATGTCACGTCAGATTCAACAAACTCTTCTATCTTCAGGAAACGTGTGTAAATGAGCTGCGTAAATTTCACCTGTTCTATCCAGCTGCTCGTGCACGTGAGAGGAGATTAGCATAATTACCACCCCAAAAACACCATTTAAGGCTATGTTTCCTGCCTCAGATACAAGGAAGTGTCCATTCATAAATGACATTGCAAAGTAAAAATGAAGAACTTTACGAGTTCGGACATTGTAGTCCTGCTCACCGAGATCGAGAAAAAAATCTGTTCTCTTTAGCAGCGTCATCTGAAATTGAGCTGCTTAAAGGAATGAAATGTGCTGTTAATGTCATGTCTCCTGTTGGTCGTACAGTCACAGAAATAAAAATCTAAATCATATTCATCTCTCTCTAGTCCAGCTCCGGTTTTTCTTTGGTCAAATATTTTTTAATTTAAGTGTAAACAACTGTGTTACTGTGTTTACATTTATTCATAAGAAGGGTGGTTGCGCACCGCTACCCCCACCCCTCCCGCCGCCTGGCCATCTCCCCCGTCCCTGCGGTCACAAGTGACAGATGCAGCTCTGAAAAGACGCATTTTAAAACGTCTCCAAACTTCAATTAATGCATAATTTAAGTTGTTTTTTAGTTTGAGATCTTCATATTAATATTGTAGTGTTATACAACAGCATTAAAAGACAATTTAACTTAATCTAATCAATTTGTCATTAAAATCTAATTCCAGTTCAACCTACTGTCAACATAATTATGGAGTGTGATTTATTTTCAACTTGAAATATTTTCTAAATAACGAAATATAAAGTTATTAGGGAGGAAAACCCGTCTGATAACAGCAGACTGACTGCTCGTGACAGGTCTGGACCACTCGTGAATTTTGTTCGTATCTGAATTATAAATTAATTATAATTTTTAAACTAAATGCTTAAAAATATATTACACGGACGGGGCCATTTTATTTACACGCAAAGCATTCTGGGTAAATGATGACATGGATAAGTCCTTGGTGCAAAGCTGCTAGCGCTAGTGAGCTATATCCACCCTGAAGGTTAATCTTGGACAATATCTGATGATCGACTCTTTTAAATGAAACCAGAGAGCGTTGACAGAGAGGAGAAGGTAGAAATGWCTCAGCCTGTAACTGAAAATATYGATGGAGGACAACAGAGCTGCTTCATGGAAGAAGAACCTCAGCTTAGCCTGATAGATTTAGCGTTAGCCCCGATGCTATCACCATATATATGTATTAGCTCAGCGCTACACATTCTCCTCTCATCACTGAGGTCCTCCATCCACATGACAGAGAGGGGAACACAAAAATGACTCAGCTGCAACTGAAAATATGGATGGAGGACCTCAGTTTAGCTTGTTTGTCGCGCTAGCGCTGATCTAATACATATAAGGCAATATAGCGTCGGCGCTAGCGCAAAGGCTAACAAGCTAAACTGAGGTTCTTCTTCCATGAAGCAGCTCTGTTGTCCTCCATCTATATTTTCAGTTACAYGCTGAGTCATTTCTACCTTCTCCTCTCTGTCAACGCTCTCTGGTTTCATTTAAAAGAGTCGATCAGATATTGTCCAAGATTAACCTTCAGGGTGGATATAGCTCGCTCACACCGAGGACCTATCCACGTCATCATTTACCCAGAATGCTTTGTGTGAAAATAAAACAGCTCTGTCCGAGTTAAAATATATTTTTAAAAATTTACTAAACTAAACAATCTACAGTATTTTTACAGTCTTTATTTTACAATTAAAATAAATGTATGTCAAATAAAGTCTAACGTTACAACTAATCGTGGATCCCTTTAAAGCACTAGACAGTCTTTTCTCTCTGGATTATGGAGCTTCTCTGCACGTAGCTGCATCAGCACTCCTCCTACAAACACAATCGACACATGAGCGTACCCATATCCATGAGCTGCTGCTGCAGCATGGACCTGGTGCCTGGTACGCTGTTGGAGCGGCTGACCATTGGTCCGGACATCATCTTCCCATTGTTGTACTCCATGCTGGAGCGCATCATGGACGGGTGTCCCGCTGAACCCATGGGGCTGGCACTGGAGCGGGGCTTGCCCCAATCTCCGGAACCCCCCATGGGAGACCTCTGCGGAACCATGCTTCTATTCATTGGGCCTGGTAACACCGAAACAGAAATCGGGGAGATCAGACCCTGAAACAGGGAGGAGAGGAGAGGTAGCTGCACAATGAGAGAAACTGCGCACACGAACACACACCCATGCTTCCCGGGCAACTGTCTGAGCCACCCATCACGTTCTCCTGTTTGACGAGAGCAGGGCGTCTAGCTGCTCCTCCAGGCCCAACAGGAGGCTTCCCATCCATAGATAGGGCCCTCTGGAAGGACCCTCGACCTCCTGGACCCATGACCGGACTCCCTAAACAAAACAAATATTTAAAACCATTTTTTTATTTCTGTCTCACACTAAATATATATACCTGTCAGTGCTAAACATACTGRGTAGGGTTCCAATTTTAGCTGTGTGAATAAAATTACACACCTGTTTGAATATTGTGGTTTTATAAATCATTTATTTACATACAGAGAAGTAATGAATTTTTTTTGCGTCACAGTATTCATAAGAGCCTTGGTGCACTTTTAAATAGCTTCTACCAGCAAATGTTGCCTCCTATAATAAAAAGACTTAAGCCCAATCAGTAATATCCCAGTGAGACTGATCACAAGCCCTTTTTATTTTTCATCTGTTTTCTCTATGGATGAGTATAAAATGTTGTCAAACCTTAAACAGATGTCCTCAGAAACTTAAAAAGACTCAGCTGAGTCAGTTTGACTCCTGAATTCACTCAAAAACAATCATCCAGTGGTAACAGATGCAGCTTCTGTGCAATTATTATATTTTACCATTATCACAAAGGAAGTTACAAAATCCTACCAGAGTGTAACTCTCATTACTTCTCAAGGTCATTTAAAGGGATCCATGATTAGTTGTAACATTAGACTTTATTTAATAAACATATGTTTTAACTGTAAAATAAAGACTGTAAAAATACTGTAGGCTATTTAGATTTGTAAATTTAAAAAATATATATTTT